GTTCTACAAACAGCCCAGGGGAGCAAAGGCTCTTGTCAGATATCAAAATACATAGTTCTCTTATTCTGCTCACGATAAACCGCCAGCTTCACAGGACTCACGTTATTTCCGGAACAAGGAGACACAGCTACCAGTTTGAAGTGTGAGCACAGGACCTGCGTCTCCTCGGTGGTCAGACAGCCAAGCTCCAGGAGGACCAGACCTGCTCTGCGCTGGCTCACCGAGCTTGAGTCCTGTTCCAAGGGATTCTCCTTGCAACCGGTGGATGCTGGAGAGAAGAAAAGGAAAAACCAACCTGTCTACACCCTCCCCCCCCATGCCCAGGGAATGGCCGTAGAAGGAAAGGAGGGCAGTTCTGAAGGGGGGCTCCCGGGGGCCCCCACTGTGCGCTGCTTTCTGTCAAGCACCGAGGACCGACACCTGCTCTATGTTTTGGCAACGGCCTTGCCGTGTTTCTGGCGACGTGCACAGTCGCAGCCAGCACGGGGCTCTGCTCAGCAGCAGCAGCGGCCTGGTGCACCTCCGAGCCGTCAGCCCCCAGGCCTCGCCACTCTCTGTGCACCTTTGCTTAGGGAACTTTCTAGTTAAAGAAATGACTGCAGAGAGGAGACGGGGGCAGGGAGCAGTTACGCCTCGCTCCTCCGCCACTGGGCAAATCTCCTCTCTGTGCCCGGGGTACACGTCATCCCAGGAGTGGCCGTGAGACGCAGGGAGAGGGGCCAACGCTGACAAACAGACCAAATGCCAAGCAAGATTCCCACAGGATACATCTGTTTATTGATATCTATGTTAAGCCACTTCCCAGCAGGAACTGCTGTAACAAGAATAGGACTCAGTTTCTAAAGGTAATAAAATAATGACGTCATAGACAAAGCATTGGGAACATTCTGCAGAGAAAACTGGCTTTTCTTCTCCAGCCAAAGTGACCAGGTACTCAGTGCCATCTCAGGTATGAACTCCAGCTCTTGCCCACACTTTCCTTCATCTTGGCTTTGGAACATTCCAGGCTACGAGGCTGTGACCAGGCGCCCTTGTCCACGCCCCTCCCCACATCACAGACCCGTCCTCAGTTCATCTGGACCGACTTCCAGGCGGTCACGAAGGGGTGAGCCACGGTCTGGTGACAAAAGGACCAGCACCAAAAAGCTAGTCCTTCCTCTTCACGAAGTAAACACGATACTTTTTATTCTCATTTTTTTTTTTTTTTTTTTTTTCTTTGTTCTTCCTGCTGTTCTGATTGGGGGTTTTCTGCTACCTTAGCTTCCAAATCTCTGATTCGGTCCCCTGCTT